CGCAGTTTTGGTGTTTTTTTCTAAAACTTTTTTTTTTTTTTTTTTTTTAATAAATGGTCAAAAAGTTGTGCTGTTTTGGTTAAATATATGGGTCTTTTGGATGTGCACACCTGTTTGCATTTCTTTGTTATTTGCATAATGACAAACAAAGTTATTTCTGTTTCACTGATAAAATGTCACAAGATGTAATCTCCCAGTTTACAGATGCTACAATAATATTTGCAATATGAAGTGATATTTACATTATTTTTTATTTTTTTATAAATGTCTTCTGCAATAGGCTACTAACTAATCCACCCTTGTGACAGGCCTGATGATGTAAAAAAAAAAATTAAACCCCTTGGTAAAAACCTAGTTCATATTAAAAGAAATTTTTAAAAAATTATTTTTTTGACAAAATTTTATTATTTTTTTTTTTTTAGCTTTTAGTAACTTACTATGTATTCAAAGAATAAATTATATCATTTGGAATTTAGTTCCAACATTTTATGAAACTCACATTTCCAGATTATCATGATTTTCATAAAAACTGAGAGAATTCTCCTGTGATTCATCTTCACTGTTGATTTTTTTAAGTAGTCAGTCACATTAGATAAACTAGCAAAAGTGTCATGGCTAACTGCTTTGTTTTGTTTTGTTGCTTATTCCCTCTTGTTACTCATTCAATGGAAAACCAGGAATAGGCCCCGCCCCTCCAAGTGCGCTTTAAAACACCTGAGAAACAGCACCAAGACAGAACACACGCTTGAGTTTGAGTGAGGCTGCGAGTGAAGGTTTGATGGATGGCAAACAGTGATGTTTACTTCTCATAACTACTTCTGTAGTGCGTTTCTTTGGCATTGACTGCACTTCTGCATTTAAAGTTCAAGGAAAATCCATTTCAGCGCATCTTTCGTTGACAGAGGTGAGTGAAAGAGTTTTAATAGCCTAATTCTGCATTTTTTAACACTGAAGACCATTTCAGTAAATATATTCGGTCACAGGTATAATATTTTTCCACCTCATTTATTTAAACTTTTCTTTTTTTTTCCAACAGACATTTCAACATCTGCAGTCATCTTCATCTGACGTTCATCCGTTAACCAAAAATGAGCAACACAAAGTAAGTTCAGTAGTTTTCTGCAACATAATGCATGTGATATTACAGAGAGTTAACTTTTTGTTTTTACTTATGTTACAGTATGAGTTCAAATGTATTTTGGGATAACTGATTACAAAACATTGTCACACTAATCCACATTGTCTGAGACCACAAATAAAAATGCTTTATTTTGCATTTTATAATTGAAATTTTAATTAATTTAACATGACATTTTTATTATTAATGTTAATTGTTGTTCATAGTAAAATAATTAGATGTGACTAAATTAGATTTCGAGGAAAAAGTGTGATCTCACTTCTGGACCCAACTGCATGTCTCTATATTTTCCAAATTGTCTAATATAGCTTTTCCTCCATAGAAGCTTTGGATTCAGCATCTACTCTTTCCCTGATCGTGTGATGCCGGTGGATCTGGCCATGCATGCGCAGATTAGCCCACCAGTGTCTCAGCTCCTTGGCATGTCTGCTCTCAGGGCTTCTCCACCCAACGTGTTCTCACCAGAGCTTCTACGAGCCTGGATTTCATCCCCTTCCCCTACATTTTCACTATCTTCATCCAGCTCTGCCAGCTCCCTGTCCTCATACTCTCCTGGCAACGGCACGTTACGCAAGAAGAAGCGAGTCGTATTCGCTGATGATAAAGGTCTCGCTCTCACATCCGTGCGCATCTTCACTACTGACCCTTCAGAGATAGAAACGGAAGACGCCCCTCAACCTGAGGAGCATGTGAAGCCTAGAGCGCCCATACAGAGCGTGAGACTGCGACTTAAGCTTGGTTTTCCACAGCCTGTTGCAGACCGTGCAAGCTTGAAGGAAACCTTAGTGCAGTTGGAGAGCTGTAGCTTGAGCGAAAAGGCGTTGAGCGGGACCGTACGGGTCTGCAACATTAAATTCGACAAGACTGTGTTCATCCGCATAACTTTTGACTCATGGCGAAGTCATAAAGACATTGCATGCACTTATGTGAGGCAACCAAATGCAGCTTTGGAGACTGACTTGTATTCTTTTAATGTGTTGCTACCATCTGATCTGGACCCGAAGGAGCGCCTGGAGTTTGTGGTAGTGTTCCGACCTGGCAATAGTAAGTTGCAGCCCGTGGACAACAACAAAGGTAAAAACTATCACATTCTTGTGGAAAACATGGTGCCGGAACCTCGGCAGGTGACGACAAGCAGGCGAAACTTTGTTATACCAAGTCCTCAGCGTTATTCTGCATGGCCCGGGGTCAGAGGTCCTGAACTACATAGAATGAGACTCCCGGCATGCAAAGGCCTGCCCTACATGGACCATCTGTTAAACAGGACATGTGGAAGAATGGCGAATGTTCCTCCGTTATGTTAAGATGGGACTGAGGCACTTGTGCAGTCTACATTTCTACAGTACTTGATTTAATTGCGGATTGAACAACGTACAAAAATGGAGCGATTTTATGCACCATTTTATGCATTACACTTGAATGGTGCTTGCTGGTTTGCACATGCTGCTTAAGCAGTGAAATGTGAATGTTTACTTTGATATGTACATTTAAATATATTTGAATTGGATTTAATTTGCACATTATACATTCCTTCTACAGCTAAAATATACGTTTTATGAGAAACTGGCTCACTTTCCCTGTCACCTGCCTTTTTTGTATCTTGAAGAGCTAAATTGACTTGTAAAAGTGGTGTAAATGAATCCGTTGTATGTATGTATATAGTATTATGTATTTATTTTGAACTCTCAGTAAAAAGAAACTGCTTTCCATAAACTTTTGTATGATTTATGAGTCTTGCGCTGCAGGAACTGTGTCACTCTGTCAAGTGTTATTGAACAACATTATAGCAATAACAAGCATTGGGTAAAAGTTAGTATGTGCTTGAGGCTTTTTCATGCCTGAACTGGTCTCACAACTTAATGTATTATATCAAGGCACTCCTCGGGTCTATTATCTTACTCAAACCACACCTAGCGACCAGCAAAACAATTGGTGTGCAAGAATGTTCCAGATGTTCGAATGGAAAAAAACATTTCATACCTACAGCTTTTGAGAATGTCAACAACACACAGTCCACCACAACAATGAACTTTTACACAAGTGACTTTATTTCCCAAACATGACAGCTGAACAATCTAAGTTCGATAATAATATAGTAATATATAAAATAAAAAATAGTAATATTGTAAAAAACTATTACAAATTAAAAAAACAGTTTTATATTAATGTAATTTATACAATATCCGTTATTCCAATATATATATATATATATATATATTCAGTCAGTGAGCTATGAGCTAAATGTTTATTCATTAAACGCTCTGATGGATTCAGTGTGTGCATAATTGTTACACTGATTCAAAATTAGTTTGTGAGACTTTTGACAAATTTAACGCAGTTTAATTAGCCGTAAAACATATTGCTGGATCAACATCTTTGTTGTTTCTGGAACAACATTTTAATTAATTCATTGCCTTAGGGATAAGGTGAGAGTTTATAGTAGGTTTAAAGTTGAAAGAATGTTGTTTGGGGTTAGAAAAGAAAACATAAATCATGTTTAACTTAGTAATCAGCTGTCATCACTGAAAAAAAAATTACATTAAAAATACGGTGACAAGGATGTTAGTGCCTGTATATTTTACATTTTATAGCCATGTATCAACTGATACGATGTTACTAAAGCAAATCTACCTGAATTATTCATCTTATGTTTTATGTACTTGTGGACTGAATTATTCATCTTATGCTTTATGTACTTGTGGACTGGTTTTTACCATCAACCTGCCAGGGGCTGCAGATGGAAAATTAGCCTGTATGGCTAAATCTGGCACATTTACATGATGGACTTAAGTGTCCCTTTTAAAATAAAGAATAAAGAATCTCTCGTTTACCTTAAAATAACCACAATAATGTGAACCACAAGTGGTGAAATGGAAGGCCATATGACCCTTGAAATTTTAATTCATCAAGAATATATGCAGCATTAACCACCAAAACAAAAAATGCCATATAAATAATATAAAACAATACAATGATGCATTAAACATTAACTAAACAAAATAACGTACCACAAAGCACCGATATGAGAAAAACTTATATAAAAAAAAAAATTCAATTCAATAATAGATAATGAAATGTGATGCATCATGCAAGGAACATGCATTTAGAATATCCCATACCTTTTACTTAAAAAAAGCATACTACTAATGTACATACAGTACATTTTACTGTAAATGTACACATTGCTTTGATGAATAATATATTTTCATTCTAAATTATATATATATACACACACACACATACAGTTAAGTCCATATATATTTGCATAGATAATGAAATGTGATGCATCATGCAAGGAACATGCATTTAGAATATCCCATACCTTTTACTTAAAAAAAGCATACTACTAATGTACATACAGTACATTTTACTGTAAATGTACACATTGCTTTGATGAATAATATATTTTCATTCTAAATTATATATATACACACACACACATACAGTTAAGTCCATATATATTTGGACACTGACATCATTTTCATAATTTTGGCTCTGTATACCACCAGAATAGAATTAAAATGAAACAATCAAGATGAATTTGAAGTGCAGACTTTAAGCATTAATTCAAGGGTTTGGACAAAAATATAACATAAAATTCTTAGGAATTACAACCATTTTTATACACAGCCCCCCTCCCCCCATTTTCAGTGGCTCAAATGTAATTGGACAAATAAATATAATCATAAATAAAATGTTTATTTTTAATATTCTGCTGAGAAACCTTTGCAGGCATCACCAGAGACTGGGTTTCCTCCTTTGTGATGATTTGTCAGGCCTTTGCTGCAGCTGACTTCAGTTGTTGTTTGTTTGTGGGTCTTTCTGCCTATAGTTTTGTCTTCAGCAGGTGAAATGCATGATCAGTCGGCTTCAAATCAGGAGATTGACTTGGCCATTGCAGAATATTCCACTTTTTTACCTTCAAAAACTCCTGGGTTGCTTTTTCTGTATGTTTTGGGTCATCTGCCATTTGTACTATGAAGCGCCGTCCAATCAACTTTGTGCATTTGACTGAATCTAGGCAGAGACTTTATCCATATACACTTCAGAATTCATCTGGCTGCTTCTGTTTTCACCGTGTTTAGAATGAAACCATCATATTTAAAAACATGATATTAATCATATAATTTAATAAAATATCATTTGTTGTTACTACTGTAAATATATATTCAATTATTAATGGATCTCCTTCAGTGCTTTCAGAATCTTTACTTATTAAAATGATTTTGTTTCTGTATTTTAAAATATATATTTTTTATATTAACATATTTTAATGACAGTATTTTATTGAAATCAAAATTAATTCTTTTTTTTTCAAAATAAGCAGAAAATAGTAAAAACTTTGCTAAAGTGATTGTTTTGAACAAGTATTAAAGGGGTCATATAATGCGATTAAAATTGTTCCTTTCTCTTTGGAGTGTTACAAGCTCTTGGTGCATAAAGAAGATCTGTAAAGTTGCAAAGACTAAAGTCTCAAATTCAAAGATCTATTCTTTATAAAAGTTAAGAGTCAACCACACCTATCTAAAATGGCTCGTTCTAACACGCCCCCACATGTCTATGTCACGATATGGGAAGATTTGCATAACACCGCCCAAATGTTCACGCAAAGAAAGAAGGAGTGACTTTGATTCTCGCTTTAGTATTGTTGTTGCCTTGTGTTTCGTTGTGAAAGCGAAACTACTTTGTTTGGCCTTCCAAAAGAGGACGATATCCGCTTCGTCATGCCTAGAACTGATCCGTGCTGGTCGCTGAGGAAATACATCAACTTCGCGCTGTGGATCGCCGGATCGGCTTTCACCATGGACGAAGCGGAGTCCAGCCCGGGGTTGTCACATGTGGTTGCCGCAAGCCCGTCGGCCGCTCCTTCGTCAAATCCACTGGCCGTGCCGTTCTCAAGCCCACCGACTGTTCCTCACCTGCAGAGTAGCCTACAATGTGTCTGTGCACAAAGGCTGTTTCTATCCAACTTTGCAAGGATAGTCTTTGGATAATTTAAAAGACTATCCTGTAATAATTTGCCACTGATGATTCAAACGCGGATTTTGAGCAGTGCAGAGTAGTGCTTGTTGTTTGTCGTTTCTCCGATCACAAATGCAGACATGGTTTTATGTTTACACGGTGCGATGCAACACAACACGTAAAAAGACAGTATAAGTCATTATAATCTCTTCACTCCGGCTGGGACATGGCATCACAATATGGTAAGGGGCGTAACATTTCCGTCACACGCTTGAGGTATTCAGCCGATCATAACGCACTGGATAGCTGGCCAATCAGAGCACACCTCGCTTTTCAGACTGATGAGCTTTGTAAAAATCGGCGCTTTTCAGAAAGGCGGGCCATAGAGAAGAAACAATAATGTACAGTATGTAGTTTTTTTTACCTTAAACCGCATAAATACATTTCATTACACCAAATACACAAAATAATGTTCTTTTTAGCAACATCATATGACCCCTTTAACTTACACATTATTAAAAAAAAAACATTATTTTAGCTGAAGTATTTGTATCAATACCATGAACCTTTTACCCCGTGTGGGGTAAAAGGCCCCTCTTGCCACCTCATACATTTATAAGATATTTAAATAAAATAATCGACTTGTATGATTTATTTTCACACAAAATCTGTTGCTCCATTAATATTCTATACAAACGTATGTATTTTTTCTGCATATATAAATTTTAGGCACATTTTTTCTTAAGGTGTGCCTTTAGCCCCGTTGTATCCTATATGTACCTATGTGTGTGTGTGTGTGTGTGTGTGTGTGTAATAGTTAGTAGCTTTAAAAAATAATTAATATTTATTTATAATTTTTTTGTACAAATAATATACAAAACTGTCACTGGTGTGATATCCTTTCAAAAGGTACTGATAAGTGTATGTACCTTTTAAGTAGTAATATGTACCATTTAGAAGTAAATAAAGAGGAATTATTCTGGAAAGCTAAGGAACCAATTATTTTCCAGTGATCCTGCTTCAGTGTGGAAAGGTCTGAAAGACATCACCAATTACAAGAAACCATCCCTCAGCACTGTGGAGAATCAACAACTGGTAGATGATCTGAACAAGTTTTATTGCAGGTTAGAAAAAACAGCATTCACAATCCCCCCCCCCCCCCCACATCCTG